TCGAAAATGGAGATGAATTTTTTTTGAGTCGGCGATTAAATCTTCTGGTTAGTCTTAACACCCTATTGTTACTTTGGCTTTTGAGTCAGCCGAAAGATGGAGATCAGGAGTTTCATCAATTCTTTGGTGATTTCAGTGACTAGACACGTGCAGGTACTGTATTCAAAGATGCTCAACATCGGGTCTCAGATCCATTGCAAACAATGAGTGTTATATACGTAACGAAGTTGACCTTTGGGCGGTTCTAAGGAGTACGACTGTAGTATTCACATTATCTTCAGTAAAGCTGGTTGTACCTACTTTAGAAGTTGACGAGACCACAAGATCATTTCTGTTCGAGATCGCATTCATATTAATAGATTCCAAGGTTATTGCAGGGACTGTAATATGATTTCTGAGATTGCGCAATCAAAGTAATTCATTGTTTTCCCCTTGATTTATGCTCTAAATGCGATATTTGTGGTCAAAAATGCAAGATTTATATCATTGCTTAGCACAATTTTTGCCAAAAACTCGACGTGGATATCAAACGACAGCTGCTCGCAGAGCAAACCGTAGGGCAACCGAGTCATACATATAACCAAGAGGAAACGGCGGATTCCCGGGATTCTGAATCCTATGGGAATCTCTGGAATCCCGTGGAAATCCGTTATACGTCCCAGAAATAACTAATGTAGACGTCTCAAAAACACTTAAAAAATACCTTTTTCTAATACACAACAAAAGTCATTTCATTCATTTAATATTTTAAGGGGAGCCCCCTTTCTCAAGCCTAAATTTTTTTTTCGATTTTTTTTTATATAAAGGTGTATCAAAGTGTGGGTGTGCTGGTATGGATGTGACGATTGAAAGAAGCATAGGCATACCCTTATTCACACCCACACCCAACTATCGCCAAAAGTCTGCAGGGTAACCGTGGCCGAAAATGCGAATTTTTGGAAACTTGAAATGAATATGCTAGGTTTGTAGAGCACCCTTGACTTGCTGCTGCTATGGAACGTCACTTGTTGTATTTCGACGGATGCTGCTAGTTATCCAGCTCCGTTCTGGTTCATTTATTTATGCTAAAAATATACATTCAACAGTGCTCTACAATCTTAGCATACTTTTTGAACTGACGAAAAAAATTGAAAACGTTGACCATTGCTCTATCATTGAACTTTTCTGCCATAGTTTCTATGATATTTTTAAACAAAGCTTAGTAAAATTATTCCATTTTTCTTGTTCAACCTCACATCGTGCTACGAGCTTACTCTGAAAAATTCAGCCCGTTTATCGATACAAGAGAATATTTCATGATTTTGTAATGAATGAACGACATATGGCGCCAAAAGCGGTGAATCACTCCAAACGGTGCCCTGTTGAGTAGGATATTTATTTGTAGAGTTTACTGACATTTGCCTCTCGCTCCCACCATGATCCGGAAAATTGAAAAAATTCAGAACATGGCTTTGTTTCAAGACTACGACGCATCTCAAGATGCTCCAAGCGAAGTTATTTTCCAGCCGTTGACACTAATCTACGGCAGCAACGGTTCAGGAAAATCTACTCTAGCAGCCTTTTTCAAAACACTACGTCATAATATTTATATCCCTCTTTCTTTACCTGTTCTTCATTCTCCTCATTCTGATCAATACGCAAAGATCATTCTCGACACTTCATCCGGTCAGACGTCGTCTGAATATATTGCGAATCAATGGTCGCATCAGTGCAAACAAGTGAACGTATTCGATCAGGACTATTTAGATGAAAATACGCTACTCTTTAAAGTAAATAACGCGAAAAGCGGCTTTCATATGGTCCCCGCGAATTCCAATACAGAAGGTGGACGAAATCGTTCTGCAATACATCTCATACCGGACGCTCAAATTGCCACGTGGTGTTTCAATGTTCAAGAACAATACACAGTTGAAATTCGGGATCTCATCAAGCTTCAACAGAGAATGCCTTATGAATTCTTCATACAATATCATCAAAACGCACAGCAGTTCGAAAACACGTTTTCCGCCTTGCTAGACAACCCGTTCGGTTTTGATATCAACAACTCAGATCATAGGGACCACTGGATGGCACTGGTTAGAAATTCTACGCACATTAATCAGGATGGCTTGAGAATTATACAAAACGCCTATGACGAGAATCATAACACGATCATGCGTGAGTGGACTTTTTACTCTAAGAGGGATTGCACGAGGGCACAGCCGAAGCTGCTGAACGTCGTCTCTCATATTGGGATGAGAATCACATGGTTGATAGAAAGCTTACTTGATCTATTGCACTCTTGTTGTTCTCTCAAACTCCTCATTTTTATTTATGATAGATTCAAAAAAAGAGGTGAAAACTGCAGAAAAAACGGGTGTGGGTATGGGTGTGCGTGTGGGTGTGTGGATGCTTGTGTTCCTCTTACACCCACCCACACCCTTAACCCGGGTCACACCATATTGACACCCACACCACACCCTGAAAAATTTTTCTTCTTTTCTTACGTCCTCCCTGATCTTCCGGATTCCATTGATTGCTCCTCCAAAAGTTGGAGCTTCGCGCCAGTCCTGCAATGTGTCATTCAGGGGGGGGGGGGGGGGGGGGGGGGGGCAACTTGCTAGCTCTATACTTCAACACTCATTCCATTTCGTGCTTCACAAAACTTTCATGAATTAAAAAAGTAAGGACTTCGTGAGAGAACGGCAAGAGTGAAAAAGGATCAGGTAAGCTTTCCACCAAACATGTGATTCTCAGGCCGATATGAGAGACGACGTTGAGCAGCTCTTGTGAAAAATGGCTGCCGCTATCATACAATGTTTGCTAAAATATTTTGAGTGATGCTAGCGTGTTCTGATAGCAGCTGAACTCTCTGAGGTTTCGTTACCAGCAACGTGACAACATTTCTCCAGGTAAATTAGTCATGCTGAATCCTAAAAGACAAAAAAGCGCACATTATAGCCACTCGTTTACGAAAACATTTTTATGGATGCAAAGAATAGTTTTAGACGAGCAGTTTAAAACATATCTGTCAACTACAGTGGTGGGTGTTTGTCAAGTTCGAATTAAGGATTCTCCGACCCTAACATTTGTCTTTTACGGAGATATCAGGCTCAGTCTACCATTTCGCTGCTGATTGCAGAAAACAACAAACAGCGGACCAAGAGATGGATGTTGGCAGCTGACTGATGCATAGGCCAGATCATCGCTAGATACCAGCAAGGAAAGAACATAAGAGAGGGAGATATGCGATGGAATCGCGAAAAACACTAGATAGCGTATTTACGCTGTGCGAAACAGAAACACTGCCATTTAGACATCGTAGCCTCCTTCAATCTAAACATTGAATTTCACAGTTTTCACGGGAGCTATATAAGACATACCAAGCAGCGGTAGCTACAACTTCTACTTTTCATTTAGATAAAATCAATAAAATGTTTGAACGCATCAATGTGTCACTCGGCTCTTATCGTCTGGTTATTAATAAATATCTAAAAGAGTTTGCAACGAATTTGCAGATAACTGATTTAGAACTCAAGAAACAACCATATATACGAAGGTATCGCGGGCGTGGATGGGAGGGACTTAAATTTGATTTCTATGTGTACTCGCCCATAGAACTTTATTACAAAGGTGGATTTGTACAATGTCGCATTAACTTGAGAGGTCAGCCCATGACGGATCTGTATCTCAGTGAAGCTGATAAACGAGCTTTCGCTATGTCTATCTTCTTCACCAACTTGGTCGAGCAACAGAGCGATCGGGAACAGATAGTCGTGGTGGATGACCCAGTCACGTCACTGGATGCAAATCGAAAATCAAAGACTCTGCACATCATCGTCAACTTGCTCGAAAATAGATTAGTGAAACAAATCATCGTGCTCTCCCATAACGCCGATGCTCTCCTTGAGCTCTGGAAACTGGCACAGAAGAAAAGAATAGAGATATCAACACTGCAGATAATTAAAAATCACACGAAGCACACGTCAAGTGTCTGGTAAGGATTGTAAAACGTTTCGACGGTAACTAGTCTCCTCAGTCCGATTTTAAAGATCTAAAAGGGTACGGCAGACCAAGGAAGAGCATCCTTTTTAAAATGCAAAAGCCTATTGTTTATCAAGTGAGCTCACAGATTGTACTTACTTCTCTGTTTTAGCGACATGGACCTCGACAACATAACCGGCTACCGTTATACGTCCGAACGCCAGTATCTTGAAGAATACTGCGAGCATCCAAGTGAGCGTCTGCACGACAAGCGAGCAGTTCTCTTAAATATTCGATACTGCCTGGAAAAAGCTCTGAACTACAATCCATTTCTCAAGAAAGCGATGGAGGCTGAGCTGCAGAGACTCCACAACCCAATGTACGGCAGAGTAGTCGGAGTACTGGAAATCATTTTCAAAGACCATCCGGACTTTCAGACCAACAATCCGAGGCTGGAAGCGAAGAAATCTGAATTGATCACAGAACTTCGAGGGTTCGGAGCTATCTCCGAATCACTACATGCTCAGCCAAGTGATCGAATCGAGAACAAATCGTCAGCAGAACTAGTCCAACTGATCACAAGAGCATTTGAACTTATCGACGATGCTTTTGGTCTTTCCTACTACTTCTTATCAGACTAGACTTCAGAGTAAACACTAGTTGACTGTGACAAGGGACGAATATTCATGCTCACTTTTCTGTAACGGACTCATTTATTTTAGTATAGAAGAACACTGAAAAAAAAAGCGCAGAATAATCAACCCTTGCTCTTAATTTTCTCTTTTATAAATCCTTGAAGGGTTTATGAGGGTGGCAAATACCCTTGAAGGGTTCATGACCTGAAGGGTTTTTAAGCATAAAGGTATTTGAATACTCAAAGGGTATATGGATCTCTTTCGAGGGTTTTTTATTTCATATTTTGAGTGGAGTGGTTTATAATTAAACGAATGGAGGTAGATTATTATATCCATGTTTCAGAAGCGTTTCTTTTTCCACGATCAAGGGTAGATTATTATTCGGTTTAAAGAAAGCGTTTCTTAGTGTACGGCTACGGGTAGACGATTCTACGCTTTCGCAAGAAGAGTTTATTATGATACCTTAAAGGGTAGATTACACGACGGTGTCGCTATAGGGTATTTATCTGACGGTCTAGAGTAGATTAATATGCGCTTTCGGAAGAAGAGTTTGTTATGATGCG